TATTTGTTTCTGCGCCGCCGCCATCGTCCCAGATGTTGGGTCGGGACACACACTTGCGCTCGCGGTCGACGGGTCATAGGGGTCGCAGAGGCCGAAGGCGGCGGAGCCAGATCGGGAGTCGAAGCAGACATCGGAGCGGGAGCCATGGGCGGCGAAACCGGCGGCGCCGGGACGACGAAGGGCGACGGAGGCGGCGAAGCCGGGAGCGCAGGTGGGGTACTGCCCTGGGGAGGGGTGACCCCCGAGTCCATCAGGGAGGGCTTCCTGGGGAAATGGACGTCGGGCAGCGGATGGGAAGCGAGAGGTGTTTCTGGCAGGGCACGGGTGTTGGGAGGGACCGCCAGGAGCCCGGTTAGCGAGACCGCTGACGCAAAGGTAACGGAGATGAGGCCGTGCAGGTTCCTGTCGTGGGAAAGGGCTTGGCCGTCATTCGTAGGGGAGTGGGGGGCCACGGGAAGATGGTGAACACGGGCGTGACGTGGGCCGGCTTCCTTGGCAGAACTCTCTCTGGCTTATACGTGCAGAAGGGACTGGTCGGGGAGGGAGGCGGGAGTGCCGCCGGGGAGGAGGAGGAGGATATGCAGTTGTCCAGGCAGCAGATGATGGCGGCCTGCAGGAGAGGGAGACTGCGCGAGGCACCATGAGAAAGTGGGTGGTTTCGTGGATTTGGAAAATGGAGGTGGGCGTCAGAGAGCCGTTGATGGCAGGTGCAGAGCTCAGGGGCTCCGAGGCCCCGGTCTCAGTGTCCACATGGACCACTGTCCTTTCCTGCTGGCGATGGAACACCTTGACCTGGGTTTGCTCCGGCGCAGGGGAGCCAGCACAGTGATGGGGACTGACTCCAGGACCTGGGTCCCCGAGCTGGCTCAGTCCCTAGCAGGCTGTGACACGCAGGCCATTCTCTTACCCACTGTGACCCCAAGTTTATTCACCTGTGTCCTCAGTATTTCCATGGGGACCCCAGATTTTCTTGCCAGACATTCATTTTCTCCCATTTCTTCAGCTCAGGAATTTTCAACCTCTTTCATCTCATGACGCACCTCAAGTAATTACTAAAATTCTGCGGCACAACCAGGTTCGCCCAGTGTGGGTTGTGTGCACTGTCCTGTTGGAATTGAGTCTTGATTGCTGTTGGTGTCACTGGAAGGGATTGACCCCCAGGCCAATCAGCTCCCAGGACCGGCTCCAACTACATTAAAGAGCTGCTGGCAGAAGTCAGCCTTATGGAACAGGACTTGCTTCAGTGGGGCTTTGGTGCTCACGGAGCCCACCCCTTTGGTGTGTCGTTCGTGGAGGTGGTAGGGTTGTAGTCCAGCATGGTCTGAAGCTGTCCATCAGGCGCACTGGCTCTGGGACCTCCCAGGAAGTGCAGAGTCAGCCACCATCTGTGCCCTGCCTGGGGCCACCAGGCACGAGTTACAGAGTAATCGGCAGATGGCTGCTACTTGTGTTGCGCCTGGAGGTGCTGGGGAGAGGCCACGCTGTGAACCAAGGCAGGCTGCTGCTACAGCCGGGCCTGGGGCCACTTAGCAAGAGGCAGAGAGTATGCAGAAGCCAGCTGCTGCTGCTTTTAGAAATTGTAGGAAAGTCCAAAACATTAAGTCAGGGGAGGCCAGCTGTATGGAAAAGCCACTGGGAATGCTTAGGTGGGCCAGCAAGTTGAGTGGGGCTGGGTCTCAGGGAATCACCAGGGTGGGGCAAACAGTGCGAGCCAGGTTGATGGAGACTTAGCAATGGCTCCTGCCTGTAGACTCTGGGGAACAGTGGCCTCTGCCAGCACTTTTGTCTGGTAGAAAACCGCACCCCCAACTCTTGTCCTGATGCCAGACAATTCAGTTCCTCCCCGCATGCCCCTGGTTCCTTTCAAGCTGCTGCCCCAGTGCTGGGGCTCAGAGGGATTGAGTCTAAGTAAGTCCAGGCATGTGCCCTTTAAGAGGAATGCCTGGGACTCCAGCATCCCCAGTCTCACTCAGCCACAATCCCCACTGGTTTTTACAGCCAGAATTATGGGGACTTGTTTCCTGGCTTTGGAACCCTGGGCCAG